GTGTGTGTAAATGGCCTCAGCATTGACCACACACCCCATTGTTCCTGAATGAATTTTTTCCATAGACTTTGTGATGGAAGTGAATGTGTATTCATGTTGTGAAGAAAATATTCTTATCGTACGTCTTTGTAGATGCATTTGATCAGACATTAACAGCTGCAGCTGTAGGTCCCTGTCCATATCTGCTGTAACAAATAATAAACCTTGTTTTTCTATATTTCATAAACTCGCTGGGCTTCACAAATGGATTATTATTTATCATCAAGAGATATACATTTTTCCACAACTTTCAAAAAAAGAAAAAAAGAAAAAGAAGTATTAATTTTGAAAGGTTGCTGAGTGCTGATCATCTAAGTGGTAACTAATGCCCACAAGACCATTTGGCTTTTTGTATGGAAATTTCTTTATAAAATTTAGATTTATTAGTTAATTTATGTTTAGTTTATGTGTGTGTTGCTGCTCCAGGCTTTGTACTTCAGTTTAAACTGTTGTCAGATAAAACATGGTCACGCACCTTCGATGTGAGCTCCAGTTCTTCGTTGTTCTTTGTGGATTGTCTAAGAAAATAAAACAAAAAAACATTTAGATTATTGTTGAACATAAAATATTTATATATTATCTGTTTTTAAGAGTCACTCTGTGTCTCTGTTCTGGTCCTCTCTGGTTCTTCTGTTCTGTTCTCTCTGTTCTGGTTCTTTTCTGTTCTGTTCTGGTTCTGTTCTTCTGTTCTGGTTCTGTTCTGGTTCTTCTGTTCTGTCTGTTCTGTTCTGTTCTGTTCTTCTGGTTCTTCTGGTTCTGGTTCTTCTGTTCTGGTTCTGGTTCTCTCTGTTCTCTGTCTGTTCTGTTCTGGGTTCTGTTCTGTTCTGTTCTGGTTCTGTTCTGGTTCTTCTGGTTCTCTTCTGTTCTGGTTCTCTCTGTTCTGGTTCTGTTCTGGTTTCTGTTCTTTCTGTTCTCTGTTCTGGTTCTGTTCTGGTTCTGTTCTGGTTCTGTCTGTTCTGGTTCTGTTCTGTTCTGGTTCTGTCTGTTCTGGTTCTTTCTGTTCTGGTTCTGTCTGTTCTGGTCTGTTCTGGTTCTCTCTGTTCTGGTTCTGTCTGTTCTATTTCTCTCTGTTCTGGTCCTTCCCTCTGGGGTCTCCAGTGGTACTCTGGATCATTCTCTGAAACCATGACATCTATTTTTTCCAGAAGAGATGATATCTCTGCTGCATCTTTAAAACTTTTGGAGCAAATGTGAATTCTCTGTGCAGCACAACTATAAAAGTCTTCCAGTCTTCCTTCACATTGTTCGTTGGACTCATGAGTGACTATTGTGATTAAATAGTCAAGAGCTGCTTCCCCAAAAGAAGACTTGAGCCACTGCACACAGGACTCATACTGGCTGACGTGGTGTCTGTGAGGGAGCAGCAGGAGAAAGGCAGAGACGCCTTCATCTGGTGGAAAGTGGTCGGGTTTTTTGAGATCGAGGAAATCATAAACCCTGAAGACTCGACCACACAGATCATACAGCAGAGACGAATATGGTTTATTCTCTTTGTCTGAGCCCAGTAAGAGATTTGGACCAGACTCAACAGCATCAGGATCACCAAATATGACAAATGTCCGCTCAGGGATCACTGGAACAAAAGAACCGTATTTAAATATTATATCTGCTAAATATATTTAAATACATCGCTGACATTTTAAATTTTATTGCAAATCCATTTATTTAACAAATAAGTGCATTTGAAGAAATTGCTGCTACTTTTCTTTACCTTTATCTTCAGAAGTTACTTGGTCCATCTCACATTTCTCCATGGGGTCGTCTTTTTCCTTAAATAACATTACATTACCATGAGTTATTTCAAAATAGCATTTAGTTTAGGACACAAGATTATTATGCAGTTGTAGGGAAAGGCGCCTGTTCAGGGCCTGCTCCCCCACCCTGACAGAATCAACGCCCAGGAAAATAGAGAGGTTGGTTCTGTCTGACTGCCCTTGGTATTTACAACTTTTGATCAGAATGATATGAAGAAGAGAATAACACAGATGCATGTGCAATTACAGATTATAGTTGAAATTTTGTATTTTGTACAGTATTATCAGAGTAATAATATTTTAAAACAGAAGATTTTTTTGTTCTTACGAGTGTTGCTGACTACAGGATTTGTTCTTCCAGAAGAACATTTTCAGTTAAGAAAACATTTAGTAAATGCCAAAAATGTTCATAAGAAGCCCTCAAGTACAAATGTGTTCATAAAAATGCTTCAGGAATGAGGCCAAATGTTACATATTGTGAAATGACAGAAGAACAACTTTTTCAAACTCACCTTTGTCTTAGGTCCTTCTGCTGCTGTGCCACTCTCCTCTCCTCCTCTTCTCTCTCTCCTCTCCTCTCTCCTCTCTCTCCTCTTCTCTCCTCTTCTCTCCTCTCCTCCTGTTTGCTGCATGTGGAAAATGAAAGTGTTTAAGTCTTTAAATAGCCAACTGGGGCCTGCTAAAAGCAAAGCCACGCCTCAAAGATGACCACCCCTCGAATCAGAAACCATGTGACTTATCAGAAGTCAAAACCTAAATACAAGTTTAAAAACTTAAAAATCATTATTGAAAAAAAGAATTGCTATAGAATTTTGGTCAGTGGCAAGTGGGGGTAGAATATATTGTATCTTTATGTTTTGGATTATTTCTAAAATGTGGGTGTGGCCAAGCACAAAACAATGGCCATTTTGAAAAGCATATAAACGTACATATTTCCGGACTCATTAGAACATTTGTGGGCATTCACAACCTGAAAGCAATGATGTACAATATACAGAGACATGATATAAACTGCTCCACAGTGTCCCCTTGAATATTTGAAATGGGCCAAAACTTTTGTTTGTAGTAAACAATTCAAATTTGGCACAGACATCCTTCTTGCCATACTAACAAAAAAAGCCTATGAGGACATGCCTCTATCACTGAAATGAATGGTCTACACATATACGCTGATTTTGGAGGGAGGGGTGATGTGGGCAGGGACGAAAGGCAGGATGTTGCAGTGGTGTGTCCCTGTGTTCGATTATCCTTCTGAATCGGTTTTCTGAGGAAGCTGCCAAGTGACACATGAACACGCTCAGGGAGGGAATATTTAACTCATAAAATCATTAAAATAAGCAGGCGCTTTCTTCGTAGCCTATTTATATAGTGTGGGGGGGCGCATAAGAGTGTGCTCTGGTCATGGGGGGTGAGGGGCGTTGATGTTGATGTTGAGTCCAGCGCGGTGACCAGAGAAAGTCTGTTAGAGCCAATAGACACATTCTCTAAAAAACTCCCCGAACATGTTATGGGATCACATAGAAATATGTTTATAAGAAATCTTTTTTAAGAAATATAACACTCATGAAGGAATTAGATTTTTTTGTTGCATTATAAGAGTAATAATATTCTAAAAGTGTACATTTAGTAAATGCCAAAAATGTTTGTAAAAAGCCCTTAAGTACAAATGTGTTCATAAAATGCTTCAGGAATGAGGCCAAATGTTACGAATTGTGAAATGACAAACAGAAGAATAATTTTTTCAAACTCACCTTTGTCTTAGGTCCTTCTGCTGCTGTGACACTCTCCTCTCCTCTTCTCTCTGCCTGTTTGCTGCATGTGGAAAATGAAAGTGTTTAAGGCTTTAAATAACCTACAGGGGCCTGCAGAAAGCAAAGCCACGCCTCATACATGTTGACCGCTTGGATCAGAAAGCACGTAATTTATCAGAAGTTAAAACCCTCATTCTTTAAAAAAAGAATTGCTATAGAATTTTGGTCAGTGGCAAGTGGGGGTAGAATATATTGAGAATATATTTATAAACACATTTTAACATGTCTTTTTTAATTAAGTCATCTTATCTGTTTGATTTTATATTTTATATGCATTTGGACATCCAGGAACATTTTTTGTTAATCATTATTATTATAATGTTTTACTTTTTAGGCTCATTCTTTTCAGACACTTCTCTAAATTTTTAAATATTTTTTGTTAAATAATTATAACCCTGCAAAAACCAAAGGACCAAATTTTGGTTTGGAAAAACATTTTTTAAATTAATTTATATATTATTTTATGTTTATATATTTGTCCAATATGATAAATGCATAAAAACAGGTTCATTTTGTACATTTTTCTTGGTAAAGGTCAATAATTGACTCATTCGTTTTTGTGCATTGGTAGATTTTGTGTCATGTGAAAGACTCACGTTTATCGTTAAGCAGATAATAAGTGCACTGAATCTGGACATTCATTGCAAATTTTATTCACTGTATATTTAACTTTCTCCCTAAAACAACACACAGAGGCTAAACATGTGCTGACAGTGACCAAAATCACTCTGCATGTTTGTTAGTGTGTGTGTGCATGTGAGCACATGCATGTGCATGTTTGTGCACGTGTGAGTGTGAGCACATACACGTGTGTGCATGTACATTAGACAATAGAATAATTTACAAAAAAAAAATCTAAAAAAATTTTGAATAAATTAGCATTTTGAAGCTCTTTTACACGAGGTGGCCAGAGAGGCTGTATGTGGTGTAACCCTGTTTCTCTGAGGTCACCACACTCTGTGACTGCTCCTCTGTGTCTGGGATGGACCTGCACTGGGCCTGCTGTGTGAAGAGCAGCAAACACCAGAGCTGCAACACAGGAAACACCAGAGCTGCAGCACAGGAAACACCAGAGCTGCAGCACAGGATGTGTGACGTTCATTTAGTTTCAAGAACATCTCTTTTTGTTCATAGATGAAGTTCGTCCAAATAACAAAAGGCATTCTGTGCAGTGCACTGGGGTGGTCACAAATCTGATTAAGGCTGATATATATTTTGGGAACTTTACATGACTTTAATTTGACTTCACGTGTGTTCTAAATTAAAATGTATATTACAAAGTATTTCCTCATTACACATTGGAGAATATAGAATTTTCCTTTATGTGGCTGTGGACACCAGAGCTGTTATGAAAAACAAACAAACAAACAAGAAAAAAACAAAACAAAACAGAGTGGTCTCTCAAACTCTTCTGGAGGTCAGTGCATACTTTACTTTGTCCTTTTGACAAGCACAGATCAATTCTTTTCAGTATAAAACAAATGTCATATGCAACAAATGATTCCAAAACACACATCCTGCACAAAGATGCACATTTACAGATAAGAACAAGGTAGTTACAGCACTTTGAACTTTTACTCTTTGTGCTCTTCTGCAGTGCCGTCCTTCTGGGGTTTGGTCAACTCGGCGTGGAACCTGTGCGCCATCGGAAAGAGGCAGTCCCCCATCGACGTGGAGACCAGTCACATGATCTTTGACCCCTACCTGACCCCGATCAAGGTCAACACTGGAGGACGCAAGGTAAGACCTGCTGTGTGCTCATGGAAACTCATCTGGCCTGACACGAGCTGTGTCTGTTGTCAAGGTAGAAGAGAAAACGATTGGAGCACTTCTGTCTGTTTGGCTTAACATTGTTTTGGACTGACTGTTTCCAAGTGTGAATTGTATGAAAATGAATGCAGTGGATTTAAAAACTAAATTGTGATTAGGCTGACAAGGGTTAAACACAAGATTTTGTTCAGTTACAGTTTTACATGTTTGTTTTGACGCTCTGAGTCTACCTCTTTGCTCTCCATGCCAAGTCACTCCCCCTACAGAGCGTTATCACATCACAACTGGCGTGCATTTCCTTAATGAATCTATTTGCACATCGCATCAGTTTTGTGAAGCTGCCCAGGCTTTTCAAAGGCTTTTCAAAGACTTCACACAAACGTAGAACGGGCAGAGACTGTTATCAGTCTAAATGCTGGAAGCTCAAAATAACTTCATGAATATTTAGTGCAGCTCTGTCAACACAAACAACGAAAGTTTCAGACACTTACCAGCCATGTTTCAGCCGTTGGAAGATTTATTAGAGTCTATTATATTTGACTTGTATGCTAATCACAAATGTTAATCATTCATTGGCATTTAATGAATATCTCACTGCACAGAATCCAAACTGTGATTTTAAATGCAACTGTACTTTTGTACAATGTCATTTGTTATTGTTTGTAAATATCAGACCAGATCTGACAGTGCAGATCAGGACTGGGGGATGTTCTATCAAAGTGGTTTAACAAATCCAGGCTGATCCTGAAATCCTGAGCTGAATCTAGCTCCATCTTTAGCTTAAGCCTCAAGTCGTTCCATGACAGAAATAAGCCTGGGATCTAAGCTAATTCAGACCTGGAGTTTAAGCTGCACTTGGTGCTCTTGGTGACTCTGGGCCAGAGCAATGGAGCAAGATCTGACTAAAGGAGAGAAGAACCACAGCGCTCACCCGCAGAGTTTGATTTGGACCACAGAACTTTCTGGTCATTCTGATCTGAGGAGCGAGAGGAAAAGACATGACTCTCCCCTCCTCTCCTGTTCGCTCTACGCCTCTCCTGATCGCTTCATGGATAGAGAGGCTGGCTGCGTACTGTGGAGCCCGGCCCGGGAATGAAGTTGCCTGACTCTTCCCGATGTGCAGTAGTACGTGCAGAGCTTAAATTCCGCTGTGTGTAAAAGTAAAGCTGTAACAGAACTTCTAATGTAGCCTAGAAGAAATGATAAAATCTGCACAAAGGTGTTTGCAGTTTGGCAGGGAGCAAGACACGAGGGAATGAAAAGAGAGAGACGTGATGAAGGAGCAAAGAGACAGAACCCACAGTCCAAGAGTCCAAACCAGCGTCTGCACTGCCCCTCACAACACACACACGTGCAACATGATTTGAATGAAACTATGGCCATCGGCTTTTATATGGTTTGTGCCTTTGTGAGTGCAGCGTCCACACACCTGTGCCCCCCTGTCCACGCGCACGTGTGCCCCTGTCCGCGCGCACGTGTGCCCCTGTCCACGCGCACGTGTGCCCCTGTCCAGCGCGCACGTGTGCCCCTGTCCGCGCGCACGTGCGCCCCCTGTCCACGCGCACGTGTGCCCCTGTCCACGCGCACGTGTGTCCCGTGTGCAGGAGTGTAAGCGACACACGACTATAAAAGTCACTTTTTCAACAGTATCACACAGAGACGGGCGTCCTAACACCTGTGTGTGATGAACGGGCTGAAACTTTTGACCAAACTGTTTCTTTAGACATTTTTGGAGACAAAGCTAAAATAATCTTGACACTTAGTCTGGTCCCGACCAGATTTGTTTTCGGTTGCTTATTACTGCTGCAACTCAGCGCCACCTCTGGTCAGTCACTTTGGTGGAACTGAACTGAGGCTTTGATAAGCCTGGATTGGCCAAATAAGCCAGACTTTGGGTTTAGCTCGCTTCATGGAATACCCCCCACTCGCATATTTGAACTGTTTATGCAGATTTACTTTATGGAGAAGCATGGCCGCTGGTGGCCTAAAGGTCACGTGTCACCCCTTCTTTATCTCCTTGGGTTTTATTTTGACTAGTAAATGAAGACTTGTACATTTTTGCTTTAATTTATCTGAACTTAGATTAAAAAAAGCCAAAAAGTCTGTTAAATTATCACAATGATATCGTTATCACAATACAAAACTTAAATATTGTGTATTTTTCTGATATGGTGTCGCCCTAGAGTTGAATCCCTCATAAATCCTGTATTTCTGTGTTTTCATCTTTGAACATTTGATCAGAACGCCCCGGTAATGACTGCACCTGTCACACTCCTGAACGATCCTCACACACTCACACGGGCCCATCTGATATGAACTGTTTATGACCCGCTGCTCTGATCAAAATTAAGATTCATTTTTCCACTGCACATTTCCATCAGAATTCCATTAGGCGCAGTGTGTGTGTCTCTCTCTGTGTGTGTGTGTGTCTCTCTGTGTGTGTGTGTGTTGTGTGTGTGTGTGTGTGTGTGTTTGTAGGAGCCCTGATAATAAGCCCTTCAAAGATAAAGCAGTTTTTATCAGATGAGAGAGAGAGACAGGTGCTTTCATCCGAGCAAACAACAGAATAATCAGGATAATGTCACAGGTTCAGACAGGCCTTGGACAACACACGGGTTTGGCACAAAAAAAACACAGTCCCTTTGTACATTTAAACAAATATACAGTATATAAGCTATTATTATGATGACTGACCTCTTTAACTGTCGAATGTCAACTAACCTACAGTGGTTGTATAAGTGTCAAATTTCTCAGGCAAATGTGGTGTTTCAGATTTAGAATTTCAACCGAAGAGCCAATCCGGAGCGAGGCTGTTGAAGGAAATGTTCCTTCCTTCCTGCACCGCACACATGCTCACTTCCTGTATGAGAGAGATAAAGAGTGAGAGAAAGCAAGAGAGCGAGAGAGAGAGAGAGAGAGACGCATGCTTTCATCCAAAAAAACAAAAACAAAAAACAAAAACAAAAAAACAAACAAACAAAAAAATAGGTGCAGGAACAGGACATGAGGACAATGCTGCAGGGACAGACATGGGTAATGAAAAAAAACACACTGCCAGTCAAACGTTTGGACACACTCTCTTATTCCATGTTTTGTTTTGTTTGTTTTGTTTGTTTCTGTCTCTCTCTGAGCTCTCTCTGACTCTCTCTCTCTCTCTGACTCTGACTCTCTCTCTGACTCTCTGGCTCTCTGACTCTGACTCTCTAGCTCAGACTCTGACTCTCTCTCTGGCTCTCTCTCTGGCTCTGACTCTGACTCTGACTCTCTGGCTCTCTCTGACTCTCTGGCTCTCTGGCTCTGGCTCTGACTCTGGCTCTCTGACTCTCTGGCTCTGACTCTCTGACTCTCTGGCTGTGACTCTGGCTCTCTGGCTCTCTCTGGCTCTGACTCTGACTCTGACTCTCTGGCTCTGGCTCTCTGGCTCTGACTCTCTGGCTCTCTGGCTCTGGCTCTCTGGCTCTCTGGCTCTCTGACTCTGACTCTGGCTCTCTGACTCTCTGGCTCTGGCTCTCTGGCTCTGACTCTGGCTCTGACTCTCTGGCTCTGGCTCTCTGGCTCTGACTCTGGCTCTCTCTCTGGCTCTCTGGCTCTCTGACTCTGGCTCTCTGACTCTGGCTCTCTAGCTCAGACTCTGGCTCTCTGGCTCTCTGGCTCTCTGGCTCTGACTCTGGCTCTCTGGCTCTGACTCTGGCTCTCTGGCTCTGACTCTGACTCTCTGGCTCTGACTCTCTGACTCTCTGGCTCTGACTCTCTGGCTCTCTGGCTCTGGCTCTGGCTCTCTGGCTCTCACAGACCGGTGTGACATAGAGATTCCTGTGGATGACATGAGCTGTGAGCAGACTGAGAACACGTGGCTCCTGCGCAGCGAAAAGTTACGCACTGCACCTTTAATATGACTTTAGACGAGGAAAGGCAAGTTTATTTGTACGGCACAATTCATCCACAAAGTAACTCAAAGTACTTTACAGAATAAGAAAAAACATTAAAATCACAATAAAACGAAATCAAAACATAAACAATCATCGAAAAAATTAAAAAGAAGCGCGGGAACAAAAACCTGGTTTAGACCTGCTTTAATTCCTGGTTTAGACCTGCTTTAAGTCCTGGTTTAGACCTGGTTTTAGTCCTGGTTTAGACCTGGTTTTAGTCCTGGTTTAGACCTGGTTTTAGTCCTGGTTTTAGTCCTGGTTTAGTCCTGGTTTAGATCTGGTTTTAGTCCTGGTTTAGACCTGGTTTTAGTCCTGGTTTTAGTCCTGGTTTTAGTCCTGGTTTAGACCTGGTTTAGATCTGGTTTAGACCTGGTTTTAGTCCTGGTTTAGTTCTAGTTTAGACCTGGTTTAGTCCTGGTTTTAGTCCTGGTTTAGTCCTGGTTTAGATCTAGTTTAGACCTGGTGTTAGTTCTGGTTTAGTCCTGGTTTTAGTCCTGGTTTAGTCCTGGTTTAGTCCTGGTTTTAGTTCTGGTTTTAGTCCTGGTTTAGACCTGGTTTAGATCTAGTTTAGATCTGGTTTAGACCTGGTTTTAGTCCTGGTTTAGATCTGGTTTTAGTCCTGGTTTAGTCCTGGTTTAGATCTGGTTTTAGTCCTGGTTTAGTCCTGGTTTAGATCTGGTTTAGTCCTGGTTTAGATCTGGTTTTAGTCCTGGTTTCGTCCTCGTTTAGTCCTGGTTTTAGTCCTTGACTTTAGACGAGGAAAGGCAAGTTTATTCGTACGGCACAATTCATCCACAAAGTAACTCAAAGTACTTTACAGAATAAGAAAAACATTAAAATCACAATAAAACGAAATCAAAACATAAACAATCATCAAAAAAATTAAAAAGAAGCGCGGGAACAAAAACCTTTAGAATTGATTCATCCTCGTGCAGATTCCAAAACTTTGCGTCTCATTCACAAACCTATTAGTATAAACTGGAATTCTGTCACTTTCGGAGTATTTTATATTTTGTTTATTTCTTTTGATGAATGAGTCGG